TTTACCTTGTACCCTGTTTTCATATAAATGTACTGGCTCGATAAAATTGGTCGACAGATTACATACGCTTGCAACTGCCCTTCTGAAAAAGGAATAAACTGAAACGGTACATTTTAAATATAAAGCTTTTTGTCAAAACTCAAAGCAAAAGTACGTATTAATCGACGTACCTGCTACCGGCATCAGTCACAATTTTCGTGTTTGACGTATTTGGTCCTCAAGCAAGCTGCCTCTATGTTCCTCGGCTTGATTACGACAAACTTCACTGCCTTGATTTTCGGGTGTCGGAACTTTTAAGCCGTAGATTGCACTAAATGCACTGGGGGTCTGAGAGGCGGGTACTCGTATGCCCAACTTCTTGTCCACTTTTCCGCAGTCTTAGATGTACGACATGACACCCCATTTGCAATCGTTTTTCCTGGAACGCCTGGAAGTTTGAGGCTGTAATGCCGATCAACATCAGACCGGATGGTTACCTGACTTTGTTTATGATCCTGACATTCTGGAGGACATATTTCGCCCCCTGTGCCAGTCAGTCCTGCTGTTAAAGCCGATAGACACCAAAGCACTACTCATCCGTGAAGAGAATGAGTGCATCCTCTTTTTCCAATTTCGTCAAAATCTTCTTGGTAAGTTTCAGTCTGAGATCTCAGATGCGAGTAGCGAAAAGCCATCTTTTGCATTTCGCTGCTAACCGGGTCCCTTTCTCTTTTCGTGCTGCTGATGATGATATTCATAGATCATATTGCCGACAAAGACAAGGGAGACTGGAACGGCCATTTCTGGCTTATTAGGCGTCTTCAGCCAGTCATACGCAGACCCAAGTGGCGTCCCACCCGAGCCTCGAACTTTCCGCCTCTTTTATCAGCGTCAAACGCTCTAACCACCGAGCTACGAGCTCGCTGTATTGTCGGGTTAGGTCGAGGGATATTGACTATTTGATTAACGTTCACCCGACCGCTAACGGAACTCGTCTGATATTCATACTTGTAATGGCGCCAACTATTGACTTCTTGGCTATCCCTTATGTGTTCCGGAGTAGACTTCTCTTCAGCCTGAGCCGCTATGCTAACAGCGAGCTTGGTGGTGTTGGTTGATAGATTCCTCTCCGATCCAAGCTCTCCTTAGGCATGGCCGGCTTCTTAGTATCTTGTTTGTGCATTGATATATACTGTCGGAAACAGCTGTTACCACCCCTTAATCCCATCCTATCCCGACAGAACTGGGGATTAAATGCTTGGGCCACTGACTGTAA